CTGGAATTTTTATATTTATTTTATCTGAATCTATAGTTTTTTTTCTTTTGTTATTTTTTTTATCAGTTATTTGAATTTTAAGAGAATTAGATTTGGTTTTATCAATATTTAATAATTGATTTATTGTGATTTTTCTCAAAAGCAGTGCACGAACTTGTGATACTGCTTTTGTTCCTTTTTGCCAGTTAGCTAATATTCCAATCCATTCCTTCAAATAAACATAGGACTGCTGAAATTCAAAAAGTTTTCTTAAAGATGTTCTTCTAGATACTTCTGAAGTATATGTTAAAACATCTAAATTGTTAATAGAAGTATAACATTTACTCATTAAGTTATTAGATAATTCTAATTGTTCTTCAATTGTTTTTGTTTTATTATTTAATAATTGTTCATTAAAAACACTTGGTGTTTTTCTTAATGATATAATTTGCTCTTGAATTAATTTAGGCTCCTCAGAATTATTTTGTTTAAAATAAGATTCTAAATAAGAATCTAAATCTAATGCACCCTTAACTAAAGAACAATGAAATGTTGTTAGAATTGTAGTAGAAGCTTGTATCACTATAATTTTTAACTGTTCAATAAGTTCTTTATAGTATTCAGACTTATGTACACCTGAATTGGGATCAAAAAAAGGAGCCACTACTGGAAGACCTTTTTCTAATAATCGAAAATCTGAATATAATTTAGCAACTTTCAACTTATTTCCTTTGAGAATATTATTTTCAGAAGTTTGATAATTAATTAAGAAACTTAATGGACTAACTGGTCTATTTATAGCTTCTTCTAAATCTATAGGTTCAAATTTTGGAAATTTAATTGTTTTTATTAATTTTCTAATATGATTAATATTAACTGGCTCAATCATAGCAGTTTTTGTTTGATTTTTAAGCCTTGCTTTGCATTTCTCAGGGTATATTTCAATTTTATCTAAATTAGAACTACAAGAGATAACACTTAATATTAAACAATTACTAATAATATTTGAGTGAATTTCTTGTAGTTCTAATGTTTCTGATTGAATAGATGTAGATGTTGATAAACCTATAAAATAAAATAAAAAATAAGTATTTAAATAAAAATAATTAAATAAATAATTATTTAATATATTATTAAAAGACTTACTAGTACGTTGTTTCTTAATAGCTTGCATATGCTCATTATTATTATCTTCATACTCATTTTCTTCTTCATATCCATCTTCACTTTCTTCATATTTATTCTTATTCTATTCTTTAAATTTGTTTTTATTTAATTTAATTAATATATTATTAGTAAATCTATTTATTAAATATGAAATTAATTATAAATTAAATACTTACTTTTTGATGAAAATAT